CCCGCTATATGTCGTCGGCTGCAGGGCTTTGTTGTCCTGCTGCAGCCGCGTGCTGCTGCGGACTTTCTCGGCTAAAACTGCACCCAGAAAAATGTTTTATTATTGCAAGTACATTTTGACCTAGGATCAATAATTTTACTCTTGACGCAAGGTGACCTTTTATTGAGAAAATGTTCCTAATTCAAAGAAAAATCTTCTTACAGAAGGAAAAATATTTTGGGTTATTTTTAGTACAAAAATACTCAATTGCAGCAAGAAATCAATTTTCTGGGTGTACAAATCGATTGTATGCACTTCTAATCTTGATTTAAAACAAAATTGGCAGTTGTATAGAAGTTTTTGTTTTCTCTGGATTTAAAACTGCATTGCAAGATGGGTACACAGACGCAATGGAAAAATAAAAATGACCCCTTGACATTTAGAGTGTGAAACGTAAGGTCTGATCTACCTCGTCATTAATTTGCCAACTCGCTGCCGTGTCGCGTCATTTGCAGCCGTGGTATTTGTTTCCCCCTTTATTTTTTTTTATAAAGCGTGACGCCTGTTTTGCGGCGGGTACGGAGCAGCCGCGGCGGGTGGAAAGCTTTTCCCCGCGCAGCCCTCTCCAACCCCCTGCTGCCATAATCGTTAGCAGCGGCGCACCGGTCGTCGTGATATGGCGAGCGGCGCCCCACCCCGCCCCGCCCGCCCCGCCCCGCCTGCGCTATAAAAACGCGCCGTCCCGATGGCTGTCATTGAGGCCTCCCGCGCAAGACCCTCTGCGGGCGACGGTAGATTGCTGCATTTATTAGCACCTCTTCCTCCCCTCCAACTCTTCTCCCCTTTCCAATCCGGCTCTGCCCCGGCCCCATTGCCCAGCATCCGACCCTCACGCAAATATCCCTTTTGCGTCCACCCACCGCCGACGCGTTTTCCAATCGAAATAATAGCTCCTGCTCGTCATCACCTAACCGCTTGGTGGGTCCGCGCGTCCCGCGTGGCTTGATGGAATCGTCTGCACCCCCCACCACCACCACCCATTTGACTGGTTGTTCGGAGCGTAGCTGACCGCAACTATATCACTGCAGCTCGCCAATAGAGGAGGCGGGTCGCGGTCGTGGGGGCAATAACTCCGGGAATCATGTACACATCTGCCTAGGAATCATCAAGATAAAAATTAATCGAAATCAACAGAAATCGTGGGAAACTAATGAAACCGATACAAAGTAGTCGAATTAAGCGTTTTCTACCTCTAGAAAACCTAAGGAATGAATGTAAGTGGACGGGAATCACTGGGAATCAAGTATTTCGTGAATCAATGTGTACGCATCAAAAGGGAGTTATTGCCCCCTCGGGTAGGGCTGGGCGGTATAGGCGATTCCAATACCAATATCCAATATGAAATTATATTGGAAATGGGGCCAATATCAATATTTGTTATTGACATATTGAACTTCAACATATTGGTCCAATACCAATTATTGAAATATTGAGTTTTCAATATATTGGCCCAATAACGTTTCTAGGCTTAGAAGTATTGCAATAAAATAGCATGTCAAAATGCAGCAGTTCTTGTTCTTGGAAACAAACAGTAAATAATAGTAGAATCCATCACCAAGTACAGAATCAGTACAAGAATTGAAACCAATATTCATTATTGTATTGCTCCCAATATTGAATATTGAAACCAATATCCAATATTGAATATTTGGTATGTTGGTCAATAACAAATATTGATATTGCTCATTTTAAAATGACGATATTGAAATTTCAATACAAAAACGTATTGATATTATTTCCAATATATTGAAATACCGCCCAGCCCTACCCTCGGGCGCAGTACTACAGGGTGGGCCGGTGAGTGGACGGCATACAGGGAGGGGGAAAACGCCCCTAGTGCGCACACTGGTAAATCCTGCTTACAAACAAATTAGTTTGGAAGCTGCTTGAAACTATTTAGGAACTCTTCGATCCAAAGTATTTGCGTTTTAGTTTACAAACTATCCAGCTCAAAAAGAAAAGGATTTATTGATTAAAATTCACACACATTTAATTTAAAACTAACTACATTTTGTATTACAATTACAAAAGTCCCAAATTGTTCGAGCAGCCTGTCCTTGCAAGGGTTTGACTGTGCCGGGGCCGCTGGCCCCACTACCCGTATAGGGCTTCGGCGTGCCTGGCAGCGTGCCGGCTGGCTGACTACTGACCCATCTCTTACGGGGATTTCGAGCCGACGCCCTCCCCCTCCTTTTCCCCAACCCCGTGATAGAGGATCTCCGAGATTGGGCGACCCGGCTGCGCTGCGCCGCCGCGCCGCACCCTCCCCGGTTGCTCCCTGGGCCATGGCCTCGCCAACGGCCTCGTTCATATGTTCGGTACAGCTCAATCCGCCGGGAACAAAGTTTGAGCATCGGGCGGGCGAGCTGTAAGGGCTGTAAGGCGATATGGATATCTACTGCCAGGGATCTCTCCTTTCTTTTGCGAGAGGAGGGCCGATGTGGGAGTACTTGGTATCTGACTGGGAGATATTGGGGTCCTTCGCGTGTTAAGCACGACGACGGCAACCTTTTGTTGAGTCTACCGCGCTCCTTCCTGCTGTTCCTTTCCTGCTTCCTCTCTACTCCCCCCCCTCCTTCCCCTCATTTTCAGTCCACTGAGTCGGAAAAGGAAAGAGTCCCCGGTACACAGCGGGATAAGGCGGCCGGCTTAGTGTAAACGATGGTCGGGGAGGTGGATTGTCGTTCGGATATCAGTGCGCGCCCCCGCGGCCCCCGGCGCGGCTCAGTGTGCGGGGAGCTCTGCGCCCGCTGGGGACGGCCCGGGCGGCCTCACCGCCAAGGTCGGCCCGGAGAGATAAGAAGGGAGGAAGGGACGGCGGCCGCGGGGTGGACTGACTCGGGTCGCGTCGTGGACTCCGTTTGTGGACTCCATGGCGGAGGCGGCGGGGCGCGCGGCGCAGCGTGGCAGCCGTCCAAGCGCCGCGGTGGTCACTGCGGGGGTGACGGTGCGTCTGCGGGAACAAGTCGACGCCAACGTGCTCGCGAGCACACCC